TCCTTGAGTTGCTTAACGTCGTTTTTGAGAGGCTGGAGTTCCTCATGGAACAAGGCCCGCAAAGCAAACATACTGATTCCTGGCGCATTCCCGGGGGATGCGATGTCAAGGACTTCCGGGATGGGTGGGAAAACAAGGCCATCCATCGCATGGAGAAGACTGCGAAGACGCTGACGGACATCACGGTCTCCCTCTTTATTCCACCATTCCCCTCTGACAGGTGTGCCAGGCATCCGCATACCACGAAACGGAAATGAACACCGAAAGATATCCTGGGTAGGCGTTGAGCTCGCGGCCGCAAGATCCTGCTTCAAGTTCAATCGAAACATGGCTGCGCTCGGCAGCGCAACTGGAACGGACTGTAGGCGACATGTAAAACTGAGGTGATGAGGCAGGGTAAGGAGGGGTCAGGGGATGAGCATATACGCTACATTGAACCCAAATGGCTAATCTTCGCGTTTTCGAGGCCACGATCCCTCGTATATTACTAATGCTCGCGTCCTCGAGGCCACGATCCTCTTGCAAATTGCGCTGTGCTCGCGTCCCCGAGGCTACTTTCCCTTGTGAATTACACGATGCACACACTCCGAAACCACACATGTCAGCAAGTTCGCAGTGCGAATCGTCAACATTCGAAAAATGTGTGTTCAATTTTGCTGTGCAAGCCGTGACGTACGATATTGGCCCTCGCGTGCAGTCCCGACATTGCTTCACAACGGCTGACCTGGAGGCTGCCTTGGCGTGTCTGAAGGTCTTATCTGCTCTTGTCGTGTCTGGGTCATGTCGTGCCTGGTCTGGTCTGGCCGTCTGGGGCCGTCTTGGCAAAGTTTTGGTTCGTCTTGGAATCCATCCCACGGCTTTGTGGCCGCCCGTCGGCTGGAGGAGTCCGCCCGGTTTGTTAGGGAAGTCCACGCCGGGAGACTTCCCCCCTGCTCAGCGAAGCCTCCTGGGACCCCTCCTCTCGAGAGCGTCTTGGGGGCCTCCGGACCATTTCTGGGGCCTTCTCGGGGGCCCCTTGGAGCCTCTAGGGGGTTGCTGGGATCTTTGTTGGTGCCAGCTGCGTTTCCAGTTGCTGGCCTTTTCAAAACGTGCAGCAGCTGCGCTTCCAATTGTTGGCCTTTTGAAAACGTGGAGGGGCTTCGGGCTCTCTTGCGCCTCCCTTTGGACACCCTTGGGGGCCTCCGGGGCCGTCTCGGGCCGTTCCTGAGCCTGCCTTGTCTTGCCTGGTCATCTCTAGCCGTCGTGGAGAGACAGGCTCGCTGGTGCCCTTGCTGGAGGCTGCTTGGAGGGGTTCTCCCGCCTTCGTAGGGGAATCCCGCGTCGCAGGACTTCCCCCCTCGCCTGCAGTCGGGCTCCTGACATGAGGAACGCTAGAGAAGGAACGAAGCCCCTTTGTGGCTCCAACGGAGCACGTGTGCACGAGGAGGGCTAAAGAAACAACCACGGAAGGACCTTCGGAACAGCGAACCCTTCCAAACCTGAAGCAGTCCTTAATTTCAGCGTCTTGACTGTACGCAGCGTCGCTTGTGCGAAAACATGTGCCTGTACAGTTGCGCATATGACATGTCGTCGATTTCTGGGCTCGACGGTGCGGATCGGTTGTCGATTTCTAGATGGGCCCAGCGTAGCCTCGACACGACCTGCGACGCCATCCAACATCGACTCCAATTTCCATCAGTAAGTGTTTGCAGGACTCGTCTTGGGACACTTCGGGATGCCCCTTGTGGTCATCGGGGACATTTCGGTGCCAAACACGGATGGCTCCAGCGACTGGGCCGCGTCATCCTGTGGCTGTCTTGGGCCATTCTGGTCGTCATGAAGTCCGTCTGGGAGGCTACAGTCAACGAGTATAGTAAGGATGCGCGATAAGGATGCAAGGGCCTTGGACGCCCATCTCGAAGCTTTTCGAGCGGGGCGCGGCCAGCGAAAGCGGCGAAGGATGGACCGAGGAGGCAAGGATGCAAGGGTACCCTTGGGAAGGTTGCCCATCCTTACGATGCGGGTTCTGTATCCTGGACCGTCTGGGAGACCTGTCGAGGTCAAGTCGGAACTGCTGACACGCCAGTGCCGCCGACGTGGCGGACTGGAGGGGTCGACCCTTTCTCTTAGGGGAAGACCCTCTCTAGACGGGGTGGCCACAAGGGAGACAGCTACCATCATGGCTCAAAGTGTTCCAAACTGGTCAGAGACGGCCTCCAGCACGGCTCCAAGGAGCACGAGGTTGCCAACGAGCTTACCCAGGACGCGCCCGAGAGGGGAACATCCCCACGACCGCCCGAACGTTTTTCAGTGACGCCTGCCTTCTCGTCCCTTCGCTTCCCATGGGCCTCCGAGGCCACACGGTGCCCACCAAGACGGGCCCAAAGGCTCCAAGACGGCCCCACGGGCTCCAAGGTAGCGCCCCGAGAGTGTCCAAGGAGCCTTCCCCCCAGAGGGACTCCTCCTCCTCCTCCTCCTCCTCCTCATTCAGCATCCTCCCTCCCTCTCAGCTCCTCAACCACGTCCACCTTCTCCTCATCGTCTCCTCTCATCATCCAACCTCCCTCTCCCTGCTCGTATTCCTCATTCGACACTCCCTCCTCCTCCTCCTCCTCCTCCTCCTCCTCCTCCTCCATGCTTCGGGCTCCCACGGGGCGGTCCCACGTGAGTGTGGCCCCTTTTTTGATCGATGGTCTCCAGGATTGGCCCACGGGGGCCCCAACAGAAGGCCCCCAAGAGGGTGCCCCAAAAAGAGCCCCAGGCGCTCCCCCCAAAGATGGCCACCAGGAGCCGAGCCTCCTTCACCAACGCCCCTGAGATGGCAAGAGGCCTCGAAGAGGCTGTCTCTCTGTCTCTCTCTCTCTCTGTCTCTTTCTGTCTCTTTCTCTCTATCTCTCTCTCGCTCCTATTTTTTTTTTTTTCTCTCTCTCTCTCTCTTTTTTTTTTTTTTTTTTTTTTTTTTTTTGTTTTTTTTTTTTTGTTTTTTTCTCTTTCTCTCTCTCTCTCTCGGCTTCCTCCGGAAAGAATCGCGAAGGTCTTTGGTTGATTCCTGGCTGCTTTGCACATCTCCGCTGTCACGAACAAGTCAGGATGCCAGCCCAAAAACGATGACATGACGCATGGCGTGTTGGTGATCGGGGCGGCTGACCCTCCTCTCTGTACCAATGCATGCTCCTGTGTTACCCTGATCAGGACAACCGGCCTAGGAGTAGTGTCTGGATGGGCTGGTGGTGACGCGCGAAGTGTCAAGAACTTCCCGTTACTCCTGATCGAGGCCGTGAGCCAACAGAGTATACATGGACAACCAAATCTCGCGGAACGCAATTGTCAGGAAGACAGACATCGGGTCGGGAGGATGGAGTTGGGAGAAAAATGAGGATATCATTGCCCGTATCGGGAGCGCGCAAACATGTATCGGGGGATGTACCCTCCCCCAAATGCGGCCGGTGCCGCCTCGTTCGGCGGCGGAAATCCGCGATTTCCCATGGGGCCCGTCGCCAATCCACGCCCCCTTGATCCGTGTTTGCGATCGCCGGACCTTAGGCGGTCGAAGGTATCGCGCATTACATTTAAGTCTGGCCTGTCCCCCTACAGTGGGATTTTCGACGAAAAATAAAAAATACCCAACAAATACCCCCAAATGTTAACAAAAATACTCAACAAATAGTCCCCAGACTATTTTTGACTATTTTCGGACATTCCCCCTGTATAGGGACACGCCCGACTTAACATTACATCCGAATGCTATTGGTCATGCCCGTCCTCCTCCCAACCCCTTCGTCCCAACACGATAACTGGGCTGTTCTCCCCCAAAATTGGGATGCAGGCGAATCCCGGAAACGAGCGCGCGGGTCAAGCATGCGCTCCTCCTCGCCGAGAGCCCAGGGCCTCACGGACGGGCCCCAAACGGAAAGCACTCCGAGGTGGATAGCCCCAACTTGGAGAGCAGAAAGGGTGCGCTTCCTGAGAAGTCTTCGGCGCCTTCGGGGAAGGCTTCGAACACTTCGCAGGAGGCCGGTGGACTTCTGAGCCTTCTGAGAAGGCCCGCCCCTTCTCACTTCCCCCCCGGGCTCGCCGCCGACTGAAGGCACCGCTCAGGCAAAGGAGGTGGCACTCAATCAATATGGGTCAATTGTCAGGGGGAGCGACAGTGGGGGGGGGGGCCGGCTCAGTGGAGGAATCGATGACCTGGAATCGGCGATACATCGGCGGTAAGAGTCGGTGTTGGGCTCCTAACGTGGAATCCGAACGTTCCTGGGCGGGGTGGGCTATCAGGTCCCTGTCGGCGATGAATGGGCGATGGGGTGTCGATGCGTTCCCCCCCTGAGCCTATCCCACCAGAACGTTGCCCTTGAACACAGGACGTGGCACTGAGGCAATGGAGAGTGCAACCGCGTACCCCTGCGTTCCCTTCAGCCTGCTGCATCGCGGAGGCGACCCCAGCCCGAACAGAGAGTCCGTGCTTCTTCCTTGAACCAACGCGTCACAACATGCGCTCCCATCTCGTGTGTTGGCTTCCTGCGGCCGCATATCGATGAGGGACATCGACAAATGAGGACTGGCTCAGGGTGGGGGATATCGAGCTTGACTCGGCGATACACGACCGATGAACAGACGATGCGCCCCCAGACCGGTGATAGGCCACCCCTGAGTCTATCCCCCCTAATGTTGCCCCTGAACCGAAGACACTCAATGAGGGTTACGTCGGGATCTTGCTCTTGACTCTTAGCAAGCAAGCGAGGGCGCTGGATGGCACATGGAATTGTATCCTGGAAGTCTTGACGTTTCAGCGCTCACACTTGCATTGCAGGTCACGCTCGTGGTAGACGCTGTGGCAGTAAACGTAGCGCTCGTGGTCAAGGTGGTACCTGTGGTGTGCGTAGCGCTCGTGGTCTGAGTGTCAGTGGAGGTGGAGGTCCCGGTCTGGCTGGTGCCAGACCTGGAGGTCCCAGTCTCGCTGGAGGTCGCCGTGGGAGTGCTCGTCGCGCTGGAGGTCGTCGTGGAACTGCCCGTCTCGCTGGTCACCGACGTGGAACTGCTGCTCGCGCTCGAGGTCGACGTGAAGGTGCCCGTCTCGCTGGTCGCCGACACGGAGGTGCCGCTCTCGCTGGAGGTCGACGTGGCCGTGCCTGCGCTCTGCGCGCCCCCGGGCCGCTCCGGCCGCGGCCGGCCGCGAGGTCGGGGAGAGAGCCCGGCGCCCTCGCGGGGGCAGGGCCGAGTCGCCACCCCGCCGAGCACGGCAGGCCGCGTCGTGGCGACTTCGGCGTTGGCTTCTGGCACCGCGCGATCGGTTCCATTTTGGAGCAGGCCTCTGCAGGCGTGAAGATGGAAAACGTTTCAGGCAGGAGCTTCGACGCCACGGACGGACGCGGCTCGGAACATTGGCCACGGCTGCTCCCTGGAAAAGAGCGTCGGGCTGCGAGCCGAACACCAGGACCAGCTTGTCAGGCCCCTATTTGCCGCCACGATGGTTCCGGGCAGGCTGTGCTGTCCGGAGGCTGTGCTGTCCGGCTGGAGCAGTCGGCGGCTTTCGGTCGCCAGGTCACGCCACATGGGCCGATCCTGGGCCACTGGCGGCGTTCAGGCTTGAGCGCCCGCGGCGGGGTTGCCGTCGCGTCGGCGCGGCACGCACCTACCGCACCCGAGAAGGCATCCATCTTTCAAGCCAGCTGGGGGCGGAAGGCGAAGTCTACGGAGGGCCGCGGAGTCCGCTGGGGGGAGATTGGAGCAAGACGCTGTCCCAACCACCTGCCCTAGCTCTTCCTGGGCTGCCCAGACCTGCAGTGACGAAGCCATGCGCTACGAAGGGTGCCTTGGATACGGAACCATCGGATACGGCACCCGGGGTCTGGAAGCCGGTGGAACTCCAATCGTGGATTGGCCATGGATGCCAACGCCGCCCTCATCGGATAAGGAATCCTCCAGGGTCTGAGGCCTCCTGGGCACGTTCCTCTCGGAGGCGCGCGCAAGGGGGTGAGAGGGAGGGTGGAATGCTTCCTGGACGGAGGCTGCTTCTTAGAAGGCGTGGGCCCTAAATCCACAGATGAGGCCCGCGCCTTCTGAGAAGGGGCGCCTCTAAGAAGCCTTCCCCCCTCCCCCAAAACCACCTCTGCGCGTGGCTCCTTAACAAACGCCCCCACCGTAGACCAACCACCATCATCAGAACCACGATGCCAACAACCGCGGGTCGGAACCCACCGCGCGGGCTGATCCCAGCAGCGGGAGGGGCCTCGCCCCTCGCGGCTGATCGTGGCATGCTCCGGACTTAATCATACTGAAAAAAAGGGGGTCTTATTTCGGGGGGGGGTCTGATTTGAGCTGTCTTGGAGGGCAGGCTGGGGTCTGGCGAGGAGGTCCGGGGGCGGGGCTCCCAACTGGGGAAAGGTCTGACATGGTCTGGGAGGGTTGTGCCCCCCCTCCCCCTCATCCAATGTGAAACTTAGAGTTCCCAACCTTTCGAATCTGAGGGCGCGTTGCGAGATTGCTATCCCCCTTTGGCAGCCTCGTCTTCTCCCCGCGCACTACAAGCAACGCCAAAGGGGGCGACAGGTAGGAGAGTCGCTACCCTCTCCTGTGGAGGAGGGGTGGACGGGGGAATACACTCTCACCCCCCCCGTCCCCAGAATCGCCCTGGGAGCCACCCCAGAAACGTCCGAGAGCCTCTCTGACCCTCGATGCTCCCCCTTCCTCGATCACCCGTGGGGAGGTGGCGACCCCCGATGGCGCTGCCTGCACAGCACTGGCTCTCCCAGCGCTCCCTTCCTTCGCATCGGCCGCGCCCCTCGCGCGCTTTGTGCCCCGCCCCCCCCCCCCCAGGCCCGGCGGGGTCGGGAACTGAGGGGCAACGATAGGGGGGGGGATAGGCATAGGGGGGATGCATCGACCTGGAATCGACGGTGCATCGTCGATAGAGTGTGATGGGCCCCCGATAGCGAATCCGCACCTTCCTGGGCGGGTCGGGGCCATCGGGCCCCTATCGGCGATCAATGGGCGATTGGGGATCGATGCATCCACCCCTATTAGGGGAATAAAAAGTGACATAAACATAAAAACTCGGAGGTCCGCTCGGATTTCTCGGATCGGCGCTGGGGCCCCCGGCGGCGCCAACGGCGCCGCCCCTGGCGCGCTCCGCGCGCCAGGGAGGGGGTCCAGCGCCGATCCGAGAAATCCGCGCGGACCTCCGAGTTTTTATGTTTATGCCACTTTCTGCTTCCCTTACTCGTGCCCATCCCCCACCCCACCGTCGCCCCTGAGGAACATCTGCGTGGTGCGTCGCGGCGGCGGCCCCGGCGGCACGCCGCACCACGCGAGCGGGCAGCGCGCCGCCCCGCCCCGCTCCGCGGGAGGCAGGGCAGGGCTCGGGACGCTGACGCCCTGGGCTGTGCTGCTCCGGCCCGCCCCAGCCCCGACCGCAAGAGAGAACTTTCGAGCACCGGGAGAAGTGCCGAAACTCGTTCGACACCGTTTCGATACTGCTCGAGGGGCCCGAAATTATCTTTGGGGTGTTGTCCTTCAGTACGAAGGGAACAACATAGGCCTCGGGACCGGCCCGTGAATAGCGTGTCGCACTTCAGCGCGGTGGGCCAGAGCCAGCGGCGGCGCGCCACGCCAAGCAAACGTTCCTGTCCGTAGGCCTCATCAGGGCACGCCCAGTCAGACCCTAGCGCGGAGGAGGAGGAGGAGCAGAGGGAGGATGAGATACCTATACGACCGCCCTGCGGGCGATGAGGAGGTTGGGGGGGGATTGAGATCAAATGCCCACCCTGACTGATCTCCAGCCTGTCACCTTGATCTCATCTCTCTCTTTCTCTGCCAGCCACCGGCGGACAAGAAACGGACTTTCGCTCCTGCTGACACCCGGGACACCCGGGACACCGCCCGGCCCAACTGGGACACCTCCCAGCCACCGGCGGACGGGAACGGACTTTCGCTCCTACTTCGGCCTAGCTACAGGAGGATCACGCGTAGCTTCGCCTCGCCCGCACGCACGACACGAACACGAAACCGAAACCGATTTCCCGGTGGGGGGTCTCCGTTTCACTGCGATCTCACCCCCCAACCTCCGATGATGTATGATGGATGGCGTGGAACTTTTGGTCCATCTCAGCAAAGCGACGATCAACATATTCTTGCATGCGGCCGGCCAGCGGGGTAGTAGCCGACTCAATTACGGGGCCGAGGTGTTTGTCCAGAGCGTCGGGAGAGCTTTGGCCATCGCCTGTCTGATAGCTTTCCGAGAGAAATCTTGTATTTGAGTCGCGCATCCGTGAGATTTCGAGCCGAATGGCTCGCTGGGCTGACGAGGCCACCCAGGGATCGACTCTCGCCTGGCCGTCTGCAGCCTGCGGGGGGCCACGCCAACGGCCAACGACGTTATGATGCTCAGCAGCAGGAGTTGGTGGCCACGAGAGAGGCTGAGCCCCGTGGGCGCGATCTCCAGGGTTGGCAGCAGCGAGGGCAAGGTGGGGGCGGCCAGGGAGACTTCCTCGAATGCGCGGTCCAGGGGCGGCAGCAGCGGGCTCACCGCGACGATTATGCCTGGCTCGAGATGCTCGCCTGCCTCTATGTCTGGCTCGAGATCCTCGCGTGCCTCTCGCCCTGTCCAAGGGTGGGTGAGGGGGAGGGGGAGGAGGAGGAGGAGGAGGAGGAGGAGGAGGAGGAGGAGGAGGAGGAGAAGGAGGAGGAGGAGCAAGAGGGGGAGGCCGACTCTGCACCGCCGCGCTGCCTGCTTCTACGTGGAGGGTAAGGCTTGGCGGAGGGCGTTCATACAGGGGAGATCTCGGGCATGTGCTCATCTGCGGTCAGCACAGCGTCGAGGACGCCGCAAGGTCTCCATCTGCGAATCCTTGCGTCGAGGGGTCTCCATCTGCGAGTCCCTGCACTCTAACTTCTGGTCTTTTGTTGAATTCTTACCTTACTTCTTCAGTCGTTCCGCGAATGTGAGCGTTGCCCCCCAGCAGGACCTGGAAACGTTTTAGTTTACCCATTGGGGCCGACGCAACTGTCGAGTCGGCTGGAAGAACACCGTGGTCTAGCCTAGGATCAGAGGTGCCCTCTCTCTGCTCGAAGGACAAAGTCATCTTGAGCCAAACTGGCTACGGATGATGGTGATGATGATGAGGAGGAGGAGGAGGAGGGACACGTAGAAGACCATTTCTCAGCCATGCTTCTCGCTGGCGAACAGCTTCACACGCATTGTAAGGCAGGAAGCTGCAGGCCACATGGCAATAGCTACAATCAGAACATTTGCTCATACAATGCGGGCGCGATCGCAAGAAACCCTCGCAAGCAACCCAACCCTGAGAACCCGTGCGCGAGTTGCACCTGAGGGGAAACCTGGAGCACCCTGAACGCAGCAGCTCCTTCAACGGCTGCGGGAAGTCACCACGCAGCGCGAGGAGCGAAGAAGCCCAGGATACCCTGACGAGAAGCACATGGTTTTCAGAAGTATCGCGCCAAGGGTATTTTCCAGGTTCTACACGCTCTAGTGTCTGCGTTCTGCATTCTCCTCTCTGCCCTCTACTATAACCCAGGAGCTCGACCGCCCGCCGCGATCGGCTGGTTACTCTAGCCCCACTCCCTTCCATCTCGGGAGCCCCAGAGCTGGGCCGCCTACGCCCGTCTCAGGTTCCAGAATCTCCTCGTCCTCCCCCTCCCCCTCCTCCTCCTCCTCCTCCTCCTCCTCCTCCTCCTCCTCCTCCTCCTCCTCCCCTCCTCCTCCTCTCCCCCTCCTCCTCCTCCCTCCTCCTCCTCCTCCTCCTCTCCTCCTCCTCCTCCCTCCTCCTCCTCCTCCTCCTCCTCCTCCTCCTCCTCCTCCTCCTCCTCCTCCCTCCTCCTCCTCCTCCTCCTCCTCCTCCTCCTCCTCCTCCTCCTCCTCCTCCTCCCCTCCTCTCCTCCTCCTCCTCCCCTCCTCCCTCCTCCTCCTCCTCCTCCTCCTCCTCCTCCTCCTCCTCCTCCACCCTGGAACCGTTCCGGAGTGATATTGCAGCCTGAAGCGGGTGATTTTCCATCTGGGCCGCCCTCAGAAGCCTTATTGGCCGCCGTTCACAGGAGATGTTCCATCTGGCCCTTCGCATTTGGGATCCAGATGGAAGGACCAACCGAAAAAGCAAGCTCCCAAATCAGATAT